AGATATGCTCCATGCCCAGGACATGGACGTCTCAGGATGGATGATCTGTCTACTGTATATTTTTGCCAGTCATATTTTATAGAGTGCCTGAGTACTAAGCAGTACATTAAAATTCCCTTTTGCCCAGACAGCTTTGCTGGCCAATGTTAATTGCAATGAGTCATTGGTCTGGTTCGAGGCTGCTGGGTTTTGCTACACCTTCGGTACTGGACCCTCACTGAGAGTCCTCTTGGATATCTGCTGTTGCCTGGAGTCATGGAAATCCTGTGGTTATGGTTCCTTCTGCTCCGCCCTTCTCACTGCCATGCCACAGCTGGATGCCATTGTGTGGTGGTTGGTTAGGGGTGGGGCCAACTCTTCCACTACCAGTGAGGGGTGAGGCCAGCTCAGCATGACACTCAGAAATCAACTGGGCTTCAGGAGGCAGCCCAGACCACAGACATCCTCATGGCTTTTGGTGGCAATATGGGGAATGGACATCAACACAGACCCTAGCTGCAATAGGGTGGGGACCCAGGTTAGGCCCTCAGTGGCAGCTCAACCAGAACATCATGTTGCCTTAGGTGGCAGTGCAGGCCACTCACATCAGCCTTTCCCCACAACTGTTGACTCTCCAGTTCTTCCCTTCTCCACAGCACGTGAACTGCTTTTCTTTCCCGTCTCTCCACCACATGCTCATCATTGTGGTGCCCACCCAGTGCCACAGGGGCTTGCTCTGGCTGCCTTCTGCTTGGCCTGCACTGTGGCTCAGCCAACTTCCATGATTTCCAGTGAGAAATCTGCTGTTCATCTTATTGAGGGTCCCTTACATGTGATGTTACTTTACTCTTAGTGTTTACCATTGACTTTATCATTTCATTTTAAGGTGCTCCAGTGTGATTGCTGATTTTATCTTACTTGGAATTTATTGAGATTCATTGATCGATATTTATTCATGTCTTTGATCAAAATTGGAACATTTTGACAGCTCTCTCTCTCTCTCTCTCTCTCTCTCTCTCTCTCTTTCTCTCTCTTTCTCTCTCTCCCTCCCTCCCTCCTTCTCTCTCTCTCTCCCTTTCATTTTTTATTGAGACAGAGTTTCATGTAGCCCAGACTGGCCTTGAACTTACTATATAGCCAAGGTTGTCCTTAAACTCTTAGTGCTCTTACATCCCCTCCTCGACCCTTCTGCCTTCGCCTTCCTCGTGCTGGGATTACAAGTGTAAGATACCACGCTCAGGTCTTCTGCCATCATTTCTTCAAGGTTCTTTCCACTTCATTTTCTTTGTTCTCTCCTTTTATAATCTTCATAGTGTGCATGTTGGCAAAGTAAGTGATATGTTACAGGATTCTTAGATTCTAGTAAGTTCGTTTTTCTTCATTCTTTCTGTTGCTCAGACTACACATTTTTTTTTTCCATGACAGGGTTTCTCTGTGTAGCAGCCCTGGCTGTCCTGGAACTTGATGTGTAGACCAGGCTGGCCTCGAACTCAGAAATCCACCTGCCTCTGCCTTTTGAGTGCTGAGATCAAAACTGTGCACTACCATGCCCAGCTCAGGCTACGTCATTTAAAAATATGTAGTTTCAGCTGGGCGGTGGTGGCGCACTCCTTTAGTCCCAGCACTTGGGAGGCAGAGGCAGGCGGATCTCTGTGAGTTCGAGGCCAGCCTGGTCTTCAAAGCGAGTTCCAGGAAAGGCGCAAAGCCACACAGAGAAATCCTGTCTTGAAAAACCAAAAAAAAAAAAAAAAAAATGTAGTTTCAAGTTCACTGATTCCTTTTTCTGTTACTTCATCTCCGATGTTGAAGCCTTCTAGTAGTCAGGCATGGTAGCACCTGCCTACAATACTGCAGTTTCAACTATTTGGGAGGCCAAGCCTGAAAGATTGAAAGTTGAAGGCCAACATGGGCTACACAATGAAATCCTGTCTCAAACTGAAACAGGGGGGTGTCGTTGGGGATGTAGCTTAGTGGTAGAGCATTTGCCTAGTACCACACAGCCTGGATTAGAACCCAGAACTGCAAAAAAAAAAAAGATCCTCCAATAACTGTGTGTGTGTGTGTGTTTTTGATAAAGGATCACATGTAGCCTAGGCTAGCCTTAAACTTGCTGTGTAGCTGAGGTTGACCTTAAAGTCCTGTTCTTTCTGCCTCTATCAGCTTGAATGGGGGAGATTACAGGTATGCACCATTATGCCTGGTTTTATACAGTGTTAGGGATCAAAACTAGGGATTTTTGCATACTAGACAGTCTACCAATTGAGCTACACCTGAAGTCCAAGTCTGTAATCTTGATCTTTCCTTTAGATATTTAGGCATGTTTCCCTAACATCTAACCAAATTTACGATAATGGACTGGAAGTCTTGGCTTGATGTCTGTGTTTCCTCAGGCACAGTAACCATTCATTTCTTCTGTGAAGTATGGCCTATACTTCTTCACTGATAATTTTACACCAGTCATTTTTATTGAAAATTGAACACTTGGAATATTGTTAATCAGATTTTTACTCCTCTTCGGGAGTTATTTATGTTTCTTGCAGTAGTCCTAGCTGTTACTATTTATTTAATAATGTTCTAAACCCCTGTTTTATAGTGTTGATTTTATCTGTGCGTATGTGTGTAAAATGTGTGTATGACACTGTGGAAGTCAGAAGAGGGTGTTACATACCAGGGATGCTCTCTTCTCTCCCCCTCTCCCTTCCCCTTTCTCTGTCTCTCTCCCCTCCTCCTTTCTGGAGCTCAGGACTGAACCTAGAACCACCCACTTGCTAGGAAAGTGCTCTGCCATTTAGTTAAATCACCACTTTTGTACTGTTTTTGAAACTCCTCAATTAGGCTAGCAGTGTCAGACAAGGTTATATTGGAAGACAGGGAGAGAGACATTTTCTCTGGCAGAGAACTGACTTGTGGAGTTATCCGAAATGCATGTTTACCTACAATTAAAGGCAAAAACTTCAGTCTAAGTCATTTGAGCTTATTATTCTATAGCAACCATCTCTCATGTCATGAGGTTCCCTTTTGCTCAGGACATTTCATGTGATGTACTTAGAGAAGGCCTTTCTGCTTTGAAAGGGATTAGAGAAATGCCTGTCAGTTTAAGTATCTGTCTCTTCCAATGATATTTATGTTTCTGTTTGTTTTGTTTTGTAGATCAGGCTGGCCTTGAACTCACAGCGATCCACCTGCCTCTGTCTCTCAAATGCTGGGATTAAAGGCGTTCGCCACCACCTGGCTGGCATTTATGCTTTAGTTAGGTAGCTACAGACTAGAGTTTCCGAGATTGGTGAAATTGAAGTCAAAATGCATGCTTTCCAAATGATGACATGAGACTCTGCAAAGATAAGACCAAAGCAATTCATCTCCTACAGTGAGATTGTAAGCCTTTAGAAAAGATCAGAGAGAGAGAGAGAGAGAGAGAGAGATTGAGATTTTTGTGTGATTTTTGGAAAAAGGTAAAAGCATATGGGCCTTTCCCAAACATGTTAAGAGGATTAAAACTAGAATAAACATTTAAAGTCATTCCAAAACACTAAAAAAGGAAGAAAGAAAGAAAGAAAGAAAGAAAGAAAGAAAGAAAGAAAGAAAGAAAGAAAGAAAGAAAGAAAGAAAATAACAGACTCTTACTGGTGAAGTGACTTAACCAAAAATCACACAACTCTTCAGCTACAGAATCAGGTAAAACTAGAAAGCCAGCTCTTATTTCTCAGTTCGTTAGTACCTTTTAACACCATTGTACTAACTATGTACTTATACTATCAATTTACATTGTTGTTCTTGAAGACATACAGTATAGGACTTCCTTGCTTTGCACTGCCACTCTGGAGATTTAATGATTATATATGTATACACACCCAGGTCAGCCCCTACCTTTCAAACCTATTAACTATGATTATATGGGAGACTCAGTGATTGTCAATTATTTGTGTCTTTCCTCAGTAGCATATTCAAGTATGAATATGAGAGCCAGTAATCCCTGTTTGAGGGACTGAATCTAAATTACATAGTGTGGCTACCTCTATAGACTAAACTCTGTAATGATTGCTTGCCTTTTTTGTTATCAGAGTTATAATAACTGTGCTGTAATTATTTTTGCAGTATTTTTTTTTTGGGGGGGGCAGGGTCTCATGTAGTCCAGGCTGTCTTCAAATTCATTATAGAGCCAAGGATTCTCTAGCCTTTATACCCTGAGTTCTGGGATGACAGGCATGAGCTTCCATGCTCCATGTATGCAGTGCTGGAGACTGGCCTGAGGACTCTGTGCTAGGCAAGCATTCTCTAAAGTGAGCTACATTCCTAGCCCCTTTGTAACATCTCTGCAGACTGATAACCACCTCTTAAGTGTTCTCCACACCACCTTCTAGTTCATTCCCCCTTTCCAGTCCTTCCTTACTGGCTCCCTTCCCTTCTTGACTTGGCTTGGTAATATTAAAACGTTTCAACCGGAGAAATGGCCAGTTCTCTGGATTTGAGCCAACAGTGGAAAACTTTCCTTGGGCCTTACTTCCTTCTTTATCTGGAAACAGGCCAGGTCCTCTCAGTGATTTTTCTTTGTAGTTGCACACAAACTCGAAGATAAGATCAACAGTGTTAAGTAAAGCATTTGAAGACTGGAACACCGAATAAATTGCAAAGACTCTTTTAAGTCTGCAAATTACTTGCAGATAAAAAAATCAGAGTGAAACTTGGAAAAATAGTGCAAAGACGATCCCTCCTTAATTCCCCCATTTAACCCACTGAACACTGTTGAGTTTTCATTACTGTCTCGCCCTCCCACCTCCTTCCTTATTGAAGCCTACTTGGAGTACAACCTTTGAGCTTTAGTGTTATCTTTCTCCTGTCTATATGCCCCCAGCATACACCACTGCAATGTAGCCATAAAAGTAGGGCTGTATCTTTTTTTTCAGCACTCAGAGAAGGAATAAACATGTCTTTTGAGAGAAAATGCCTTTAATATGCTATCATTTTATTTTCAGTCTAGTAAGAAAGAACCATCAATAGCTTTACAGCAAGAAAGGGGAACTTACAGGTAAATCGACTGTTACAGCCAAAGGTGCATCTTTTATGTATTAGGAATGAATTTGGACTTATCCTTTCAAACTGAGGAAGATCCCCCTCTGTAGGCAGAGGTCCTCATCAGCATCTGTAGTTGTCTTATTTTATGTCTGTGGAAAGTGACCTGATGCTCACAACTCGTTTTCCTTATCAGTACAATGGAGTGATTGATGCCTTCTTCACACGTGTGTTGGAAGGAATATACTTCCAAGAGGTCCTGTCAGAAGTGGCTTTTCCTTAAATCTTTCAGCACTAATTGGTGTATCCTCAGTAGGAACCTCGGAACTATAAGCCCCTTTTCTGAGATTTTCTTAAGGACTGGGAAGACACAGTTCTTATTTTCAACCCCCAGACAAGTAATTGTCTTAAAACTAGAGGCCTGTCAGGAGGTGGTGGCGCACGCCAGTGTAGGACAGTTTATTCTGTGTGGTGAATATCTGTCTGCCTTGCTATCGACTCAATTAACCTGGCATGTGGTATTCTAGTCTGATTTCATTGTTCTGACAAGATCTGAAATGGATATATCTTCTAAGTTCTATGATTAGGTATTTGATGGCAGACAAGTTTTATTCGAGGGGAAAAATGATCTCCTTTTTATTAGCCAGTGGCGATAGATTTGTAATAACCTCCTGATGCTGTTTTACAAACTTAGCTTGTTAAGAAAACTGGATGTTTTTAATGACTGTTTGAAAAGGTATCTAGAGACAGAGAAACTTCTGCTTACTTTCCTCCTACCCCTAAAAAAGACCACAAACACTCAGAATCAAATAACAAACACAAGAGCATATATGCGCATGTGCCTCTGGGCAGGACTGTGTTTGAAAATCTGTGTACAAGCAAGTTTCTGAAATTGTAAGGAAAGTTGCAAGGGCTCCTGAGTCTAGATTTTAAGTAGCAAAGCTTATCACTGAACTTCCTGCCCAGCCCCCATATAACAGTGTAGAATAGGAATTATCTGGGGAGAGTTTCTGAATGGGAGAGTCTTCTGAAATATCTCCAACTCATTGTGTGTCCATTTGTTTGGAATTCTGCCTTATAAGGAATTACATCCCATCTCAACTGCCCTGCTGATATCTTAGAGACCAAAGAGACACTGCAATGGGAAGGGTGCTTCTGTTTCTCTGCTCTTGTTTCATTCGGAGACTATGACCTGTTGTATCTCAATTGGCTGAAATCCACGGACAGCAGCTGGAGTGGTGAAAAAAGTGTTGGGCAGGTCCCCAGGGCTGATGGAGCCAGAGTCACTTTGCACGGAACCGCCAGTGTTCTCAAACTGGGAGATTTTCTTTTTGATCATCTTTCTCTCCTTGGCTCTGCGATTCTGAAACCAGATTTTCACCTGAAACACAAAATGCTTTACACTTAATGGGGACTACCATGAGTGTAGTCAACAGTGGCTGCTGGTCTTACAAGACCCCTTCAGGAACATCTCTTCATTTGAGCCTCACGGTAACTTTGTGAAGTATACCCATTTTACAGGTTCTAAAAAGCTGGGGCTCAGAGAGGGTAGGCATTTTGTAAGAAAAGAGACTGAAATAATCAAATCTAGGACTACCAACTCTGAATGCAACTCACTCCTCTGCTACACAGTAGAAATCATTATATAAGGATGGCAAGGACTGCTGATGAAAGAGAACTATTTAAATAGCAAAGGTGATTACAATCAGTCATTAAGAGTAACTTCCGTGTATTAAAAAGTTAACAACACATAGAACTGGGTGAGCAGGGTCATGGAATACCATCTATTTCTTGTTGGAAATCAACACCAGAGTGGTGTTAATGTGCCTACACATGGATGGAATGCAAACTGCTTGAGATAAGGCAATGTATCAACGGACTTTACCTTTATAGACGTCTATGACTCCAGCAGCACTGCTAGACTAGGGAAAACTCACCAGGTGCTCATGTAATTGCAAAGTCTGAATGAGTGGAAACTGCTGACCTTGGCTGCAACTTGGCCTTCACTGAGTACTCACAGTAAATTAAATTCAAGGCAGGCATCATAACATCATATAGACCAGAGAAGATTACATTGCCTGTCGTGAATGACAGAAAAGCTCCATCCATGGAGCTGCAATGATGTGCAGTCCCTCTTGTAGTTTGACTGACAGGGAGCAGACAGTGGCCATAGTTGTGAAATTTCCACTTTTCACACTCAGTACTACTCGAGAGACCAGATCAAGGTTTGACTTGATTGATGAATTGTATTGGAATTCTGATCTATTTGCATCTCTGTGTTCCATCTCTTGTTCCCAGGCTTGCGCGATACCCACCCATTAAATAGTTAATAAATCCAAAGGCCAATGAAACAACACAGGATGAGTGTGGGTTTAAGGGTGCTTAAAGAAAGCCTCTGTCCTCTAGTTTGCTATTTCCTCCAAACCCCAGACAATTGAAATGACTATGTGGGAAATGTTTGGCAATACCTGTCTCTCAGAAAGGCCCAGGTTAACTGCCAGCTCTGACTTCCTTCGGATTGTGATGTATCTATTGCAGTGAAATTCCTTTTCCAGCTCCAGCCTTTGATGATCGGTGTAAACCACACGATACTTTTCTTTTGTTCTTGTTTTCCCTGTTGGGGGAGAAAGCATGACATTTCATCTTATTCTGCTCCTTTGGAGATTTTTTTGGGTTAAAGGAACCAGTTACTCTTCTTACTTTTATTTATTACTTTAAATTATAAAGCAAATGTATTTTTAAACCAAATATGTCATGTGTGTTTCTCCATTAAATGCATTATCATCTGTGGCCATGGTATCTAACTGGATGTGTATAAAAACATCCATCATTCTAATCTATCTATCTATCTATCTATCTAAAACATCTTTTTAATGTTTCTTCTGAAATGATCAAATTCCAGCTATTCTACCATTGACCTACTGTTATATCAAACATTTAAAATAAACACTCAACCCATGAATTTCATTCCATTCCCAACCAGTATGAACAGTAATGGCAACATGCACCGTGAATTACATTTTACACAATTCTTTCATGACTGTTTTCCATTAAGCATCTTATCGCCTCTGTTGAATTATGCAGAGAATGTCTTATCCCCATTGTATAAATAAGGAACCTAAGGTTCAGTATAGGTAAGTGAATTTGTGCTAGTGAGCTTAGGAGTGTAGACCAAAACATGTACCTTTGACTCCCAAATCAGTATGCTAGATTTATTCCCAGTTTAAACCCACTGGGAAGTGTAATCCCAAGTGTGGCAAACTATTCTGGAATCCTGACATAGTTACATGTACTACCTAGAAAGAATTTGTATAGTTTGAAAGGAAAATATTTATTGCTACTTAGCAAATTATGCTTCAAAATAGCTCCTATTTATTTTTTAAAAAGTGATAGTTTTCCAGTGGGAATCTTAAGGCATTTTTCATTTCCAAGTGGATAGTGAATGGGGGAAGGAGGGAGTGTTGACTTAAGCAGACTGAAGTGAGTATTCCACGTGCTTTGAAAAGATATCCAAACATTTGGCTTGTGTTACAACATTGAGCTAATTTCTCATGCTCTCCTTCAAATGGAGTGTTATTCCTCCTTTCAAATTTTCCAGAGGTGATTAGGAAGTTTCCCTTTCTTTTCAGTTTCTCTAACCCCCTCTAGGAGCTTGCTCTTTTTCTCTGTGGCTTTTAGAAACTTCTTCTGATCTTCTCTGGTTGTTTTTGATGTGAGATTTTGGGGAGCGACCTGTAGGACAAAGACTTCTTTAAAGTGGGTCCCTAAACTCCATTGAGGTGTTAAGATGCAGCACAGGCCTAACAAAGGAGCTACATAGCATGGATCCCATCCTGAACCCTCTTTACATTCAGGAACATCAACCAATTGGCTTGGAATTTACAAGCCCTAAACAAATGTCAGACACCCTTTCATCTCCAGGAAGAGGAGGGGGGAATGGATGCAGAAACAGATCTACCTCAGGATTCAACTAAATGGCTGGATAACTTCTGGACGACTCAGTGAAATGAAATTTCCCTCCCTTGAAATGATGGGTCCCAGACAATTAACTTTCCTCACAGGCCCAAATTTTGAGCTAGATTTCTGAATCCACACAGAAACATAGGAAACCAGGGATCTGGCTTTTGGCATATCCCAAAGACAGAATGTATACTGAAGAATGAAAACAAAAACCTGAGGTTTAATTTGTTTTTAGGACCTCAAATTTTAGGATCAAAATATAATCCTGAGGAGCTAGTTCCTAAAACCCTTCCTGATCAAAAAAGGGACCGAGTTTAAATTTTAACTTGAATCAGAGAGGTTAAAATTCAACTTGTGTGTGTCTGTGTCTTCAGTTCGGTCAATTAATCAGTAAATGTAAGCAGACTTCAAGAACTCTGGAAAGGTTGTGGTCTTTCCCCACCCCCATTGGTCATAAATTCCCCTCTTGCAGTTTCTTCTGAGGACAATAAAGTCAAGAGCAGGCCTCTTTATTTGCCATGAAAATGCTCACCCTTTCCGGCAATATAACCTCCAAAGAAAGGAGTGATGAGAAGAGCTTAGATGCATATCAAAGCGAAACAAGTGGTAAAGGGTCTGTGGCCCCAATCTGATAGATAAGACCGAAACCCCCAAGAAGACAGGGGAGTAGACTACCTGCACAGTTTACAAAAAGAAAGAAATTGAAATTTCCTGGAACTCGTCTCGTGCTGCCTTCTCAGAACCACATCTCTTTCCCCCCATTTCCTCTTCCCCTGAAATGACTGAAGGGATGTGGACACTTTCTGCTAGGGCGTAATGTCCATATTCCCATAACTAAAGCCAAACACCCAAAAGCATGAAGAATACTTGTTTTTATTAGGTTCCTCTATTTTCCAGAGACAATGACGTTTGGAGACCAAGGGATTCCCTTCTCAGCTGATATTGTGAGTTAATTTAGGATTGGAAAAAAGTCTAAGATGTATTAAGCAGCTATTTCCATTCCTCTGAAGTAAGAATTCCCTTACTTCTTCCACAAAGACTTGAACAAACACTTCCATAGTTCATAGTGGTCCTGCCCAGCACCCAGGAGACAGTGCCCTCACAGTTCATTAGGCAATGCCACCACATAGGATGACTTACAGTCACCGTAAGTGTGTTTGAAATGGTGTTCAGTGGAGAGACTCATGGCTAAAGTGATGCCAGGCAGAAAAGCCCCACAGAGCTTTGGGGGCATGATGGTGATGACAGTGGGACAAAGATGAAGAGAACCAGTCTTCTTACACAGGCAGTACCACCATGATGACTTCACCTAATGGCCATCCTGTACAGCTTTTAACTAAAAATCACATCCAAATTCACGTAAGAAATTGTCCAACAAAATGTGAAAGACCAAGGAAGACAATGACAAGCCTCAAGAATCATTAAGTGAAGTGTCCCAGTTGACGACAGCTTTTAAAGTATTTCCTTAGTCTTGAATGGCTTATCAGAATCAATCAAAATTCTTTCTCCTTTTGTAAACAGAGAAGCTTCTTTGCAGCTCTGCTTAGGACAGTGCCTGACCAATGCTCACACAGGGTCACAGTTCTGTACTAAAGAAAACGAAAAACAAAAACAAAAACAAAAAAAACCCACTTGGTCTCATGCACTGGCATTGTTTAAAATATGAGACTGGATGAAAATATTAACATTCTAGAAACTTTTGGATAAGATACATTTCCTTTAAGTTATGAAGACACGTGTTTAGAATAGAATACTAAGAAAACTATGATCATCTGGAAGACAGTAATTTATTCTACATGTCAATCTGCTCACTTTCATTAGAAATCACAGCCATAATTAGTGCCCCCCTTTAACTAAGTCTGTTTCAATTATCTTCATTAATATAGAAAACTGTCATTGATTGCCTTAATCCAAGGAAGGACTACTTCCAGTTTGTGGTCTACAGATTTTTTTCCTCTCAGCCCTAAACCACATGTTGTTGTGCAATGCTCCAGGGTGAGCAGAAAGCTTAGGAAGATCTGACTGATTCATTTATTCAGTTTTACAAACATGTAACACCTGCTCTGTTTGTTAAGCATACAAGGGGGGTACATTTTGGTCCAAAGTGTCCATTGGGGGTGATGACATTGATTTTTGTGGAGTTTCTGGCCTGATATCATGAAAGAGACTAGAATCTCCAGAATTTATGTGTGTGCTGTGAGGTGCTCTTATGCATATTCATCATCTTCTTAAGTTATTGATAATAACAACCCGAGCTAGAAGAAGACAGCACTAATGTGAACTTAGAAGGAGTTCAGATAAAACAGGTGCTGAAGTTCACAAAGCTTTGTCTATAGGACGAGTTGCCAACAGTCCAAGGGGTTGCAATATCATTCTCAGTGTTATGCTTCTCCTAAACACGGAAAACTCTGTGAAGGGGGCATGATCACATCAGGTGTGAGGCTTTAACAAATGAAGGTACACAGGCTAAGGAGTCTCCTTCTCAACTTCTCTTGGCATCAGAATTACCCAAAGAAGGCTCTGAGATATATACCAAAGGGAAGACTCAAAGACAGAGAAAACTGTTGTGTTTCCCGCTCATCAACAGAAAATCCATCACATCATTTTCTTATCGTGCCCTTTTCAAGCCCTAATTGTTTTCTGTTTAAAAACAACAAGCCAGAGACACTCTTCCCCTAGCATGTTTCCAAGTATAACCCTAGACAGTAGCTACTCTCTATGTCCTTTTAAATATGTGTATTTTGCTTATTACTAGGTTTTGGTGAATGGATGTTAATTTTACCCCCAAGATTAGATGTAACAGCAGCTCTGGGGATGGATACCCTACCCTAACCTCATTTTTTAAAGTTACATGACTCACCCTTATTTTCTTTTTAATGCCGTCTACCACCACAAGCCTTTAAGCAAGTTTGGAAGTGTTACTTTTAACCTTAGTAATAAAACGGGAGCGTCCTCCTCCTGGCTGAAAACTCTCCCAGAGGCAGGACATGGTACCTTTCTATCCTCCCACCTTTGCTTTTTGGAGGAGAGAGAAGAGAAAACACAGGACTGTGAACAACATAATCATCTAATCAAATACTATTGAAATATCATCTCCAGAGAGATGAATGTGGTAGTCAAATGTCACCAACCTTTTCTAATAACAGGGAGCAAGTATTGGAATAATAAGAAAGTGCTAAGAGAACAACCACCGCCGAAAACAAGCACATCACCCCATCCCTGTCTAAGATTAAAGTGGAGGAGCCTTCACTTTCTCTATGAGCCTCGCTCCCCACCAGCTAGCTCCCAGCTCCCCGTGGTTGCCCACCAGGGCTTGCTGGGCAGCGACATTAGACCTTAAATTGGCATCTTTATGCCATCTTGTGTGTTGTCGCTGTCGCATTCTGCCTCTGCAGTTCGTGGACACCTGCTGGAATAGCGACGAGGGCTTTAGGCACTTATTGGGGGGATACTAATACTCGTATTGGCTGTACGCTTGGCGGGTGTGAGTGTTGTGTCATATGAATTGACAGCTCAGTGCTGTAACCTCGCCCACTCAGTGCTTCCCTCGGTGGGAAGGAACATTGGAAAGGGATAGGCTTCAGACACTGCTAATTTGGGCGAAGGAAGCGGCAGCTTCGTTGAGAGCCCTGTAACTGAGGCTGCTTTGCCACGGAAAGCTTCTTAGACTGGGCCGCCGTCGGTTGCCCGCTAAGCAAGCACCTACTAAGGTGACCACCGCCAGTTTTTGGCGAGTCTGCACACCAGGGTGGGGAAAGATTTGGAGACAGAACAGACAAGCATGGTGACAAGCTCAGCTCTCTTTTCACCCCATTCATCACATGTGCATCTGTTTTCCCATCTGGGCAACGACGGGGTTGGATCCCCATCCTTATAGTTCATCGGGAGCACTGCCCATGCGCTCACTCCCTTGACTGATCCAGAAAGGGTAAAACCAAAGCAAAGCAGAGCAAAGCAAACCAACAACTCCAACAACCCCCAGGAGAGGTTTAGTCCCAAGCGCTACTTTTAGCCGGCTTTGAACCTAGGCGCAAAGGAGGGAAGTATTTATCCTGCCAGCCAGCTACGCTGTGGGCTGCTTAGCTGAACTCTCCTGGGGAAGGCGGGGGTGGTGAAGAGTAAGAGGGCAGGCAGACCAAGAGCAGTGAAGGGAGGAAGGGAACAGTGCGGGGGATGGATTACTCACCGGTCACCTGCACAGTCTTGCGCATCCACGCGTAGGGGCTGTGGCGGCTCCTGCTGGGAGAACTGGCACCAACGGTGCCTGAGTCGATGGAGACCAATGACTCACTGGCGGGGGCTGGCAGGCTACCGCTGTTGCTTGCGCCGCTGGTGGGGCCCAGATTGCTGTAGTCTGGCGAGCCGAAAGCCGTAGAGCTTGAGGTCATGTCGTTCATGGGTACTGTGGCCATTGTACTGGACGGCCCAGGGTATGTACTCCAGTCTTCCCGAGGCGGACTGTAGGGTGAGCTCCAGGCTCCCAGCGAAGGCTCGTGGGGATCCATGTTAGGCATATGAGGGTACCCCATGTAGTGTGGGTAAGCTGGGGCCGTAGTGAAGTTGGAGGCAGGCAGCGGACTACCACTGCTCCCAGAGGTGCCCACCCCGGTTGTGCTGCCTCCTCCAGGGCTCCTGAGAGTACCTGGGTACATGGCCGCTTCTTTTTCCAAAAGGCAGCTTCCATACATGATGACTTGGATAGAAGAAGTTGCTCCCTAAGCCATCCTGAGGTCCCTGTAAACTTAGCTCCAACTCGGGTTTGAGACGCAAGAGAGAATCAGCACTAGCTGCGCCACTGCCTCCTCTTTGCGTCTGGGACTACTTCAATCTTCCTGTCCTGCACCAGGTTTCCAGGTGACTGGTAGTGGGCCATAGGAGGGCCACCAAAGGCTGGGCTGACGTCAAGGGGCTTCTGGCTTTTACATAGCATTTGCATTCAAATGAAGGGTCATTTCACTTCCACAGGAACTTGTTCACTCCAGGCACCTTCTCCCCTGGCTCCCAGCCTTTCAGAGACGCTTCTGAGATTCTTCTGCTTCCTTAGCACCAGTTTTGTGCTTTTGAAGGCAGCTGTTCCTCAAGAGATTCTGATCAGCTCCTTCAAAATGAGACCGAGACGCACCAACAAAGTCATGCTCTCTTTACACTGAGGCCCTGTCTTTCACTGATCTTCAGAGCCCAGCCTGCTCTTCTGGTCTCCCCCTCTACCCATATTCTCCTGGTACGGGGTTTCCACCTGGCACTGACCCATCATGCCACTGTAAAGGATTTTCCCTTCTCCCACACACTCCTCAAGGAGAGGGCTTTGTTTCCACGGACAGATACTTGTTTCACAAATGTATATTCAGGATCCAGTGCGTCAGGAAGTGTTGTAGGCACTGGGGGTACAGTACTAACAAACATTTCTACCCTGACCTCCTCAAGTTACATTCCAGTTGGATGGGAGACTGCGTTAATTGGATGCTTAACAAATATGCACGTATTAAAGCATAATGAAACATACAGGCTATGAAAAGAGGAAGGGAGGAGAGAAAGCAGGTGGCTAGTGCATTGTCCGAATGTCACATTAATGTACTAGTTTAAATATCTCTTTCTGCTTCAAAGTTAGTGCCTCAAAGGAAGTTCTTACAGTCTCAAATCCATGGCAGACTTGCAATTTCCTTCCATAAGTATGAGTTAGCAGTCTATCACCTAGATCCCCAGACCCTTCCAGCCATTTAAAAATAGAAGCCCCAACTACATCTACATTGCAAGGCAGGGTTCATTAAGATGAAGCATGTAACCAGCTTGACTGCTGTACGCATTTATTCATCAGATACACTTTTGATAGGATTATTGATCCGTTTTTATTCAAATAAGGTGTCCCCAATAATTTAACCCTTACGACATAAAACGGATTTTAATAGTTTGTGTGACCGGTTTCCCACCCTCACCCCCTGTGGTAGACTTCTTTTTGGCTGGCTGGTTTCTTTTCAATTGCTGGTTTCTTGGAAGTTACAGCTTTTCCTGCAAAGGCTTCTTCGTGTTCTTAACAGCAACGGTCCTCTTTCCTTGCTGACTTTCTTGGCCTGTGCCCCTGCTCTAAGCTGCATTCTCTGCACCCATTGTCTGCAGACCCTTCCACGCACCCCTTCCCGTACCCCGCTATGTACCACCATCTCTGTATCCCTTCTCTGCACCCCTTCTTTGTACCCCATTCTTTGCACCCTTTTGCATCCCCTTCTTCTCAGCCTCTTCTCTGCAGCCCGCATCTGATTTGGCTTTGGCTACTGCCCCTGCTTTCTTAACCCAGTCTTTGTCCTTTCCGGCTCGGTGAAGACTGTGTTCTGTTGCAGGGTCCTTGTGTGTGGGTTTAGCTTCAACACGATTCTCAGCTTCTTAGTAGATTCTTATTCAGGAGTCTGATGAATCTTTCTGTGTGTTGCCTGTAGGGCTCTTTGGCTTTTCAGGATTCTGCCGACATCTGTATTGATCATCTTGTATATGTGAAGGCTATAGTTACTCTTGAGGGAAATGGTTATAAACCTAGTGGCATATGATTCATCTAACTTTGAGAAAACACTGTTAGTCCAAATGCAGAAATCTCTCCCGCACCCACTGGGAGCAGTTTGCTTACGTTAAACAGAACAATTCCAGGGATGTTTCTGAAAGTCTTGATGACACCATTGTCTTCATTATAGATGGTGCAGTGTCCCCTGAACTGGATATAAAGACACTTTCTCATTTTGCTCTTGCCAGCTCTCATTTGTAAAAAAAAAAAAAAAAAAAAAAAAAACATAGAACTTTTAAAAGTATTTTATTAATTCTTTGAGAATTTCATGTGGTGCATTTTGATCATATTCATCCCTTCCTTCAAGTCCTCCCAGGTCCACCCCACCTCCTCCCTCCCCACCCAATTTAAAATTTATTTTTATTATTATTTTTTAAAGAATTATTTATTTATTTATTATCTATACAGAAGAGGGCACCAGATCTCATTACTGGTGGTTGTGAGCCACCATGTGGGTGCTGGGAATTGAACTCAGGACCTCTGGAAGAGCAGTCGGTGCTCTTACCCTCTGAGCCATCTCTCCAGCCCAATTACATTTTTTTTTTTTGTTTTTCGAAACAGGGTTTCTCTGTGTAGCAATTTTTATTATTTTTAAGTGTGTGTGTGTATGTGTGTGTGTGTGTTTGTGCACGCATGTGTGTGAGTGCAGGTGCCTGCAGAGGCCAGAGCTGACTAGATCCTACTGGAGGTGTAGTCATAGGTGGTTGTAAGCCACTGGATGTGGTTCTAGGAATCCAACTCTGGTCCTCTGGAAGAGCAATATATGCTCTTAACTGCTGACCATCTCTCCAGCCCTCCCCCTTTAAAAAAACCAAACCAAACCAAAAATGAGTCCGGTTTATGTTGGCCAGTTACTCTTGGGTGTGGGGTCAATATTTTTGGTGTGGTTCTAAGCTTTAAGTTTCTTAAATGAAACAGCTTCCATGGCCTTCTTGTAACTTTCAACCTTATCTTCAACCAACAAAGAAAGTTCAGGAACTTCCTTAATATGATAACTTTTAGACACGAGCATGCTGGTTAAAGCTGAGGCAGCCAGGGCAGAGCACATGCCACACAGGTTTGGGGTTCTGTTTACTTTCTCATACCATGCCAGGTGTTGATTGGGGCACATGGGTGGCCTCCTCAATACAAATTTCCAAAGACATCTGGCTAGACTGGTGGGTCCCACCACCTTAACTCTGGGAATTCCAGCTTCAGCTGTCCTAGTATCAGGACTTAGCACTAGACTATGAGTTGCTAGTTCAGACAGTACAAAGCTGCCTATTGATTTTATGCAGGTTGGTGTGAACATGTTCACAATAACTTGTTGAATGGGAGCCTTGAATGCAGTGGACATACAGTTTTATCCCCTTTCAGAGTAAAGCAATATGATGGAATGAAGAACTCCCATTATCGAATAGGAAGCACATGAAGATACAAGGCCCCAAACAAACCCTCCTTCAGGTATACCTTCTCCTTTCTGTGTAAAGCAGAACTCAAGTGTCCCTCCTCCCAAACTCAAGGATTTTTAAGATCCAAGGAAAGCTAGAATCCTAGGGTTCTTCTGAGAATGACCAGCATGCTCTCCTCCTGGGTTACCTCAAAGCACAGAAGCCCATATTGCCTCTAAAATGGTGTCAGATAGTCACATAAGCAAGTTTCCCACCAGAAATAGATGCTTTGGTTATTATTCCCTTGCTTCTTCTCCTGCAGATTTACGTTCTGACCCTTCATTCTTCCCAGCTGGTCCCAGGATCTGGTGAAAGCGGTGAAAACTTCCACTCACTAGAGTGGAGAGAAGAGAAGAACAACTATTTATTAAGTAGTGGGTGCTAAACTGGGTATGAATAAAGCATCTGACCTTATTAAACTTGGATTCTAATTTTAAATATTACATTATTTATTTAATTATTTGTGTGTGTGTGTGTGTGTGTATGTTGGAATGGGGAGGTCAGAAGACAACTTGTAGGAGTTGATCTTCTCCTTCTGCCATGTGAATTCTGGGGATTGAACTTATATGGGCAGGCTTGTCAGCAATTGAAACATCTCATTGGCTCTTACGTTTTTATTCTAATGGCATGTTATTAGATAATTACATTTTGTGGCATGTCAAACAGCAATAATGTCTATGAAGAAAAAGAAAGCAATAGATAATATGGACTGCTGGAGAAAGATGCAGCAATTTTAAATTAGTGGTCTCCAAGAATTTCTCTTAGAAATAACATATGCATAAAAGACAAGAGTTGTTGGAAAATGTCACGAGGAAAGATCCATACCAAGGGAACCAGTGAAAAGAGAATGTTCGTTTTCTGTTGGAGAAAGGCTTTGTGGTTAAAGGAGTAGATAAGGTCCAAGTACTGAGGGGGAGTGAGATTTTGTAAAGATTAGGTTTTTCTCTAAGTGAGGTACTGATATTGTAGGATTTTGAGTAGATGAATACCATGGGGAATTGCTTTGGCCGTTGAATTTAAAATGGACCATAGATTTGGAGTGGAAGAAGGCATCTATAAGCAACCCCAGCATTTGGCAGGTAGAGGGAGGAGGATCAGGTTTTCAATCCATTTTTAGTGACATAGTAAGTTCAAGGGCAATCTAGACTACATGAGAAACTGCCTCAAAACTAACCAACAAGTAAACAAACAAATTACCAAACACTGTAAGCAAACAAATAGATTGTAGTTGCAGCACTTGGAAGGCTGAGGTGGAAGAGTGCCACGAGTTTAGAGCCAGTCGGAACTGCGTAGTGAGTTCAGGTCAGGGTGGCCTACAGAGAGAGGCCGCATCAAAAACCTAAAATAAAAAGGAGGAAAGAGGAAAGAGGAGAAGGAAGAAAAGGAGAGAAAACAACATAACCCAATGAATCCAATGTTACACATGAGGAGACAGAGGGCTCGAAAGGGCAAGATTTTAAGGGACCAAAGGACAGAACTGTGATTGAAAAACAGGTCTGTCAACTATCAGTTCATCGCTCTTTCCACTAAAAGGTACTATTTTTGCATATGTACTCTCTGTTCCTGAACTGTCTCCACAATCTCCAAGTTGTAGAAAGAAAAACAAGTTCAATTTCTCTGTTTCACAAGACTCCGCTCCAATACCTAACTCCTCCCCAAAGTCTCATGGAGTAATCTTTCTCTCAGAAAGTTACCTTCCTTTTTATGTTTGAGCCCCATTAGAGACGCCTGTCCCTAAATGACGGTCACAATTTGGTCTGCTTCAGAGCTATTTGAAGTCTTAACTGACTCTTTTGGGATTGGAGCACTTTGAAAGAACATGAGCCGATGTGTTTGTGTCCAGTAGAATGG